GTCTATTCGGAACAGTTAGGCATATCATTTAGCTTCCGCCTCCCTGATTACTGCAGTGTTTTTCAGGCGGAACTGATGGCTATTTCAAAGGCCGCATCACTGGGCCAGTGTGATACGATTCCGAGTCATGATATCTACATCTTCACTGACAGCCAGGCGGCAGTAAAATCTCTGGGAAATATGTCGCTGACTTCAAAAGTAGTTGCTCAATGCCGCCGATCTCTCAACGAGATGGCTGGGACATTCAGCACGCACCTTGTCTGGGTAGGCCATTGCAACATTCAGGGAAACTGCAAGGCTGACGAACTCGCGCGTCATGGAACGACATTGCCTGATACAGACATAAAGGATACTCTCGGAATCCCTCTTCAGACACGCAAATATCTACTAAGTGAAAAATTCGTAGAAGTGGCGAATGGAACCGACCTGTCACATTGCCAAAACACTCTGGCCCGCCACGAACGACCAACGCACCAAGTCTCTACTTAGTCTAAGGAGGCAAGATATTCGCATAGTGACTGGAGTTCTCACCGGATATTGTCTGATCGGATTGCACGCAGCTAGGCTGGGCGCACGCTGGAACGACTACTGCAGAAGTTACATGGATGTAGACGAAGAGGAAACCATCCCACATCTTCTCTGTCATTGCCCGGCTCTCTTAAAACGAAGACCAAAAGCTCTCGGGAGCTATTTCTTTGACGATCACGATGACCTCTAAGAGGTGGACGTCAGAAGCCTTTGCACAATCTTGCTAAGCACCAAGTGGTTTACAGGGGACAGGGATAATTAAAAAACCGTCATGCGGTATCACAAAGGACCCTGCGTCTAAGTGAGTTCTACTTCTGGACAGCCGCACAACCTAACCTCACCTAAATCAGCGTTCTTAAATCTCCGAAATATCAAAGTCTCAAGCATTTCTGAAATTTACAATTATATGAAAAGTGGGCGTCATTTTAGTACAATTTCAACGTCCTGCTTTTATGTGGCAAGTACGACAATTATACCTAGTTTGGTGCAAATTGATGGAACGGATAGAGATACACATATGGGGTCATAAATGGGTTGTGCCAGGTCCATTTTCTGAAAATTTGTTAGACATATTTATTGCTAAAAAATTATTGCAAACATCAATTTTTAATAGGTTCGCTTCAGTATTTACTGATAAATCAAAGATTTCGTATTTCTCTGAATTACCGTTATATGGGATGTGAGCGTGGTTATTGTCCGATTTTAAACATTTTCAGCCAACTGTGTCAAATTTAGGAGAAATTGGTAAAGCGGTTACCGAGATATACACATCTAATCAAGTGGGCATGGCTACGCCCATTTTCTGAAAACAAATATAAAATTCTTATTTTCCGCCTAAAGAGCTTTGTAAATAACAGTTTTGAGTGAATAAGCTTCAGTAGGTACTAAAATATCGCGGTTTTCGTATTTCTGAAAACTACCGTTATATGGGAGGTAGGTGTGGCTATTGTCCGATTTTGGCCATTTTAATATCATCCGTCCTACGCTCAAGACTTGAGTGCATATAAGCTGAAGAAACAGTTGAAAAAAGAAATAAATTATCTCAATCAAAATGTCTGCGGCAACCACAAAAATGCAGTTGCCAATATAGCAACTCAGTTGCCAGCTTTCAGTTGCAACTGAAGTTCGGTTTCCATCCGTAATCGACCCATAAATACTTTTCAACATGCATTAGCAGAGTGCACTTTTCTTTTGTTTACAATTTGGTTGCCAAACACCCTACAGCTGATCGTTTGACACATTTACCAAAACTTGCCAGCAAAAAATCTTCGCACTAAAGCTGGTAACTTCTGACAGAGAGAGGATCTTTTTTACTCTCTTTTTTGTCCTCTCAATTGTCAGAGAACCGAGAACGGGATCGATTTCCAGTAAAATCTAACTGATTCTGACTAGTCCGGACTCGTACGGGATCGCAACTATTACGTAGCTCGAACACACCCATACTTAGTATTGGCCGTTACTATAGTTGCATCCCAGCAGCAGTACGAATAGCAGGTTTTGCAGGATTTACAGGAACAGCTGTTTTCGCCTTTAATAAACCTTGTGTAAGGTGTCGTGCGGGAACAGCTTCCTGCAAAATCCTGTAAATTCCTGCTATTCGTACTGCTGCTGGAACGCAACTTATGAGTTGTATCGAATTTTCTGTCAAACAGATTTTTGCTTTCGATGATGTAGCGAAGTTTTAGAAAACTATGATTTTGCGTTTGGTTTCTCGATAACCAGCGAAGATCGAAAATCGAACGCAACTCATAATAAGGGCCTAAATAGTAAACGGTTTTGGCAGTTCATATATAGCAAAAAGAAAAACCCTGGAATTCCTTAACTGGTGCATTATTTGGGGGAATCCACGACCGACGTTCAAACTATTTGTAACGCGTTTGCCCCCTTCTTCCACTCCGTATATGTTCCTCAATCTGAAACCGGAACAGTCAATAACTTATATAGCAGCACAATTATGCTTAAAGGGTTCCGGCGAAGTACGAGAACAAAATACAATTTGATTAATTTAAAGATTGATTCGAAATGTGGGTATGTTAAAATCGACATTAACCAAGATGTGTTTCTGGAACATGGATGAAAAACAAAGTTCAACTTACCAAAGGACTGGCAGATTTTCGATCCTGCAGATTTTCATCGAAACCCGAATCTGACGAGTTGTCGCTAAACTTTGGCGCTGCTGATGACAATGTTGACGAAATGACCGAAGAATTAGAGCATGTCGATGTTGGTGACGAGCCAACCGGAGGGTAATATTGTGTGCACTGTTGACCAGCACCACTCGTTGGTTTCGTAATAACATACGATTTTGGCACATTGCGGATTACAGGTTTTAACTCCTGCAAATCGCCCGCTTTGATTCGCTCAACAGCCGAAGGAGAAACTGCTCCAGCGCCTGTCATAACACCTATTTTGTCCAGAGATTGCTTGAATATTTTTCCTGACTTGATTTTATGCAATAGCCTATTTCCGCTAGCCATATTTGTTGCCGCGGGCAAAGGCGGGGATATTGTTGTTACTTTGGCGGTAGAATGTCGCGGCATTTGCCCGCTCATAGGCGTGGAACTAGACGGGGAAATGCTCGATATGGCAGGCATATTCGTAGTATTAACAGCTAATGCTAGCGGTGTGGAAACGGAAGTAGATGGGTTATTTGCATTATTTATTGCAGATGTATGTGGTATGGTTGGTATTGTAGTTTTATGGTTGGTGATGTTGGTACTGCTTTTGATTATAACCGGAGTAGTTGTTATTGCTGCCAGGGACTCAGTCTTATTCGAAGAAATTACTATGTTATTATTCACAGGGAGATCTACTTGAGGAAAGCATTCAGACTGCCTTTTGAAGAAAAGGTGATGCTTCTTCAATACTGGAGTAGGATTCGGATTCAAAACAGGCACTGCAGTGGGTAGCGGTGGAAGGCAAACGCTAGCAACTGATGGCGCTGATATTTGTACCACTGCGGGCAAAGTTGCGATGATTGTCTTTTGCGGAGCCACCGGTTGCTGCTCCTTAGCTGTTTTGCTACCCGCAACATCTACACCTCGCGGACGTTGGTGTTCTGGACAAGCTTTGAAGTTCTCCATATCGATTAATATTGTTCCAGTTAATTCTGGGCACACATACACCATACCGCAACATGATTTGCGCTCCTGCCATTCTGATTCATCGAAGAATTGCATTTTGTCGTTGAAAATCTTCATTGTGGACCGATTCCGCATGGGTGGCATGCATTTTCGCCGTTTACTACCGATTTTAAGACTTCTCCGAAAAGAAATTATATTGCCGCTGCTGGTCCTCTTCCGGCAGGCACGATACGAAGACGCGCGAGTTTGTGTTTGAAATTGCACAGTTGAGCTATTGCCTATTTGGCTGACTTCGCAAGCCTCCCCACCTTCACCGATATCTTCGTAGTCACTATCTACTGAATCGGGTGTGTGGGACAACGAATTTTGGTCACCCCATGTTTTTAAACTGGTTATGGAGGTTCGACGTGTGCCAGTTTTCTTATCAGTATTGGGCACCACATTCAATTTATTTTTCTTACTCTTTTTAAAGATTTTTGAAAATTTTTCGGGTATAAGCGATTTTGAGCTATGTGTACGCCGGGAGTTTGTATTGTTACTTATTGTATTATTTGATGTATTTTCAGCATCGTCACGGCTCTTCTTATGTTTTGATATGGACTTTGTGCCTGGTCCGGCTCGTGCGTCAACAACCTGCCGTTTTAAACACAAAATTTTTTTATGTTAATTGGGGAAATAATCAAAGAAAAAAAAGGTATTGAAAAACAAGGCTCTAAGTTTCAAAAAGATAATGCAACATAACGACTTAGTATCTGGGAAAGTATTAACGTACATGTACACATATCACACATTTGCTATAAGAGTGTCATAAACAAAAAAATAATAATAATAAATAATGGCCCTATTATGTATATGTATGGTGACTGGTGCCTAGCTGCTGGTCTAGTAGCCATAGCTACCAACCAGTCTCGTACTATGTGTTATTCATAGCGATTAATGTCATTATACAGAAATGTGCAGTCAACATCTGAATTTACTTTTTTGACATGTACGTTTCGAAGTAATTGACAACTTTGCCCCAATGTGTTTAACAATAAAATACAAAATCGTCATAATCGGGAAACAGAAAATTGCGTTACTAGATTCAATAGCCGGCAGTCAGTAGCCAGTTGCCATACGTAATGCGAATTTTACTACATGGTTTCCCATCTCGCCTATCAACTGCCATATATAATAGGGCCATAATTGAGTCAAGTATGCAGAAATTACCACTACCTGTTCTTCTATGTTTTATGTGTGTTTTTCTAGCTGTACCGATTACCAGTAGCTTGCTAGAACAAAATATGTTCAAAATTTTACAGCTGGTTTTCTCGAGTTTTTGATTTTTTATTTTTTTTTGAATATGATACTCTTGCGGCAAGTGTGCGATATGTGTACAATTTCAACTTACATGTCCCCAATGCCGAGTACTGCCCATGGGAAGACGTTTAAAACGTTTCACCAACAACACGCACGCATTGCAAATCTCTCCGTGTCGGGGATACTTCAGATCGAAGCATTTCATGGAATCTTGTTCATATTTGCGCGAATCGGTGAAACGTGAACTGCTCGACTTAGCACGGCAAATACAACATCCTTCAGCCGAGCGATACACTCGTGGTTTGTGGAACGAGAACATCTTATATCTAATGTCTTTCTGTTCGAATTTAAATTTTAGATTTTCACTTCTTCAATTCTATATATTTTATTTCAGGTGTTTAAAACTCCAGTTTTACGATCGTATCAGGCAAGTAATTGAACCTACTTATTTTCCCAGTTATGTTTCCAAAGTATTACACTTCCTTTAGGCTTACATGTTTCTGGTGAAATATCATCTGCAAAATAAAGCAAAAAAAAATAAAATAAAAACATCACGGTGTTACAAAATAAAAATAAAAAAATGCACGAACTTTTTAAGTGACCTTGTCAGGTCGCAGAGCTGACCGAGTAATTCATGAAATCTTTTTCGCATGACTACCGGCACTAAATAATTAATTTTTAGCTGGGTTATTATTTTTTAACCAGTGTTAAGTTTTTATATAAGAAGCTTAAGTTCATTGTAAATATGTCGAACATTTTTGGAATACATAAATCTGAAATTTAGATAATTTTTTTTTTTTGTTTTTTCCACTTCTACAACATTTTTTGCCAAAATTTCCAAAGAAAATAGTCTCTTTTAGAATGTTTAATTTCGAATAAAATTTATTGAGATAATATCTATATGTAAAAATATACTTTTAATATAAGTAGTTTATCCTCATTTTCGAGCTTAACTCCCTAATCTGTAATTGATTGAGACAATATTTATATGCAATACTAGGAAATACTAAGTTTACATATACACACATAAGTAGATTATCCTCATTTTCGAGCTTAACTCCCTAATCTATAAATAGAAAGAGATTAGCTATACGAAATTCGACCCTCGTTAATCTGTAATTATAAAACAATCTCAGATTAAACCTATAACTTTTTGGTGTCCAACCTAGTTTTATCGATTATTTTTGCGAAGAGAAATCTCTTCTTCTTCTTTATTTGCGCTGTAACCGCCTAAGCGATTTTGGCCGAGTCCAAAACAGCACGCCAGTCCCTGTGGCCTAAGGTGGCCATTAACCGAAGCAAAGTTCGGATGAAGTCGTTTCCGGCAAAGTAGATTTCTGATCGCAACTTATGTTTATCTATTTATTTTTAATAATTTTCGATTAAAATATAATTCAATTTATAACAAAAACCACATGAATAAAAAATATAGAAAATTTTCGGTGATGCAGTTTTGTAGCCCATTCAATTTTAGTTCAAGTTTCAAGTCCCTAAAAATTACTGTTAATTTTTTCGAATTTGTTTGGGAAGGGTGTTGCGCGTTTTCTTCCATATAACGCATGGTAAAAATTTATTTTAACCATACTTTAACCTACTGAAACTTGCACTGGAGTGAGAAATATTATTTTCTACTTTTTTGCTCATTTATAGAAGCGAGGTATATTAAAAAGTTTACTTTTATTATATTTATTTAAGAGAAGCTGTTTATCATGGCAGAAATACACTCGTACACTCGGAGGTTTGCCATTGCCTGTGGCGACCGCTGTTAATAAAAACCCTTTTTTCTATATTTTTTGCGATGTTGCTTTGTCTAGGGCTTGAACTCAGATCATTCAAACTTGTAAATTCTGCCAAAATAAAAACTCGGATGCACATTTACTAGTATTTCGATATAAAGGTGCATCCATCAAAGTGGTGCTGAAAGATACGTCGATGTAATATCGATACATCGATGCTATTGTATTTATTATGTATATAAATGGGTTTTTGAACGTAGATTCCAATAATTCGAATTCTATTTTACTGAAATCTTAACATGAATTCCTAAGAAATTGACAAATTGAAATTTTAATAAATTTCCGGCAATATATGTGAATGGCTGTGTTTATAAACACAATAATGCAAAATATCACTCTCTTTTAAATCAAAGTCCAAATTGAACGCATTTATCTTGTATGGTTGTGAAATTAATGAGACTGATGGTTTGCATATCTGCGTTAATGAATTCATTTAAAAAAATTCGCCATTTAAAAAGGTCGATGCAGCGATACATCGATGTTGCTCCCCAAAAACATCGAAACATCGATGTGCGTAAACATCGAAGTTTTTCCAGCACTACATCAAAGCGTATCGAGCATCCCCATACACGGGT